TAAAAATGTGTGTTTTCATTTTAGTGCAACACTTCAGAATTTGGAAGAGCCTTTTTAAAAACAGTGATTTTATTATTATTTTTTTTCTTGATTGAGATTGGAATTGAAATCTTTTGTTCTGACCTTTCAAAATATGTTGCTCTCTACGTTTGCGTTTAGGTTTACTATCTTCCGGAGCAAGAACTGAAATATATCTACCACAAATCCATAGCTGGTTAGCGGTTCTTGTCTTTGTCATATCTCATCAGCAGACTTGGCCTATAGACATGTTTTAGTAATGAATGTAGAAGTTTCATGTGTTCAATTTGTAGAAAAGAAGGGTTTTTTTATTAAAAAAATAACAACATGATAAATGGTTGTAAAAAGAAGTATAAATTTCAGGCAAGATTTGAACTTTTTAAAAAAGGCTGGTTAGGAAGGAATGTCATAGCAGCATACCAGACATTTTTAGAATCATAGAAAACTTTAGGTTGGGATTGGAGACCATCTGGTCCAACCTTCTGTTGAAAGGTTATCCCTGTCAAGCTGAGGCTAGAATATTTTCAGTGAGGGAGATTCCACCAATTCTCTGCAGCTTATTCCAATGTTGGTTTTTTTCTTGTAATGAATTTTTCTTTTTTTCCAGAGCACAGGGAGGCACTGCAGCTGGTTCCATTTTACTTGGATACCTCAAGTACTGATGTGCTGGCTAAAAAATGTTTCCTTCCTTATTTCTCTGAAGGAAGTCCCAGTATTTTTAAGTCAATCAGAAAAGTATACTGCTTGAACTCAAGTTATGTTGGTCATCCCATTGGTCATTGTCGGGGGGGGGGGTGGGAGTGAGAGAGTGGCTGCATGGTTCTGAGTTAACGGTTGTGCTATGACCACGACACTCATCCAAAAAAAGCCCAAACTTTAAAATCAGATTCCCAACAGTAATGACCTTTTACTTTATCATATCCTAAGAGGGACCTCCAGGCCTGCCTTTGGAGACATAAAATTTGCCTCTCTATGAAAAAATCAGCTTATCATTGTAATCATATCTGAAGGCTTTGTTGAAATAACCAATTCATTTCATAATATATGTTATTTATATCATCCCTTTACTTAGACTTGATAATTAATACTGGATGCCATTGGTTTTTTTTCAGTGATTTTAAATGTCCTTTAGTAGTTGGCTAAAGAAAATGAAGATTTATTTATGTATGCTATTTACCCCCCATTGTATGTAACCTTCACACACTAATCAATTCTGGTAGGACTATGGATCCTGAGTCTAACACTCAAAGGTCAAAAGTAACAAAAATTGATCATCTGTTGTATACCTGTATATCAAGATATATAGTCTTTCTTCAACATGCCGCTCATTAACATTTCTAGAATAACATTCATTTAATAGAGTTTTGTCAGCTGAAGTGTGACATCCTACCTTTTTCACCAGAATTATACCAGAATTTAAAAGGTACAGTTGGAAATTGCAGCAAGCCATTTTTACTATGAGAGGAACCTGTTACTTACAGAAAGAGAAATCAACCATTATGTCATTTAGAAGTTTTTACAATTAAAAGTTTTATTCCTAGAGGAGCTGAAAGACAATTAAATGAAATGCTAACAACAAATTAAATGCTTTATAGGTCAGTCATCCCATTAGGTCTCTTTAGGGAAGCTGTTCTCATATAAAGCATGCCATAACCTATTTGCATAATGATTCTATCTTAACTGTGCCTTCTGCTCTTTTATGGTGTGTTGTTTATCCTAGTGCATGGCTGATATAGTAGAATCTCACAAAGAAAGTAAAAGCCACTATTTATGGCAGACAAAACATTGCACCATTCATATACATTATGCAGGACAGTACCCAAACTGCAAATATGATTTAACACACAGAGTCATTATACTCCCCTCATTGCAGTAGCTTAATTGTTTGAATTATAGACAGTGTTAGCATCATTGTTTTTATAAGATTATACACACAAAAGCAGTTCCAGCTAGAGTATGTGGAAGCTTATGAAAGAAAATACGAGGTTTCTAAAGACAGCGCTAATGGTCTGGGCTCATTTGAAAAAGCAGAACCTTTTCCAGAGGGGGGGGGAAAAAGACTTCAGAGAAATCCTAATCTCCAGTGCACACCGGCATGAACAGCCTGTCACATTGGGGGGGGGGAAGAAATTTCATGAGATGAGTCTTGATTTCTGGCTTTGGATTAGAGCCTGGTTATTTACAAAGTTGGCTTTGTCTCTGTGGGCAGAAAGTGAATGGCTAAAATCTTGGCATGCAGTCACAAAGCTATTTCTTTTTTAATTTTGGTTTGTTTGTTTTAACTGTATTGTTTTCAAAAGGTAGGGAAGAAATGGGAATAAGTCTGTTAGCAGCATTTGAACTAACAAATGTTGCCAGACAACACTCTGACATTCCTGAAGTTTATTGTCCTGTAAACCCAATTTAGTCACTCTGGCTTGTGTATAACCTTAGAAAACTAATAAGGATCTAAAAGCACAAGGCGTCTGCTCCACCGTATGAACAGAGCTGCGTAGATCTTAATGCTGACAGTTGCACATGCAAGGTACTGGATGCATCTTTTGCAGGCTGTGTCAGGACTGGCTGCGATAAAGCCATGGGACCAGAGAAGCCCTTAGTGGCACAAACAGCTTCTTTTCTGAAAACTACAGAGTAAATCAATTTCCAGTTAAAACACAAGGGAAGAGCATTCAAGACACTCCTCTTCCAGTGGTAGGTAAACATTAGACATGTTTACTTTATCATCAAGCCATACATCAGTCATAGCAAACTGACTTGAACAAGCTCTGCCAGTGTGACAGGCTGCACTGCAGCAAAACATCCGTTTAGGTGTTCACAGATGTTCTGTTCCTTTAAGTATCTGACTAATTCCTGAAACAGGGCTTCTTTTCTGTTTGGGAACTTGAAGAGAGTGGTTGTCAAAAAGGACAGGTACTCAACAGTGCACAGCAGCTTCAAAAATAGATATTTTAAGAAAACAATAAAAATTTACAAATGGCTTTACCAAGGTGAATACTCTGATGGTTAAGACAAAAGATATTAATTCCTAGTTTCCTACCATTTTAAGTATCACACTGTGCATAGCCTTTCTGCTCTTGTGTTTGTGTAGCAGTGAGATCTAGACTGTCTCAAAGTGTTATCGTTGCAAGAACAGTTTAAAACTATATTCTGGCATATGCTGCGGGCTTTTGTCTCAAGTGTGTTGGGATCAGTTTGTAATACTCAGGTATTGCAGTTTGTAATACTCAGGTATGTAATAATCAGTTTGTAATACTCAGGTGTGCCACTTACTGCAGACCTGCCCAGAGTCTGGACCACTGTTGATCACACGATTAAACTGATCTCACTTGTTTTACTACTGAGGAATCTGGATTTTGCTTTGTAGGGCAGTCTTTTCATGTGCGTGAACCTCTCCTGCTGCTGACATGAAATCTTACCTCTCTTTGCCAGACCTTCTTGAGAGCATGTCATCTACACTACAGCCAAGCATAAGTCAATATCTGTTTCAGTTGGAAAACTTCAGGCCTGGATGCAGAAGTATCAGACACAGCCAATATCTTTGCTGCTGTTGTCCAAAACACAGATCTTAGTGTGTATATATATATTCTGCCTGAGTATCAGAAGGATTTAGACCTTTCTCTGTATAAGATCTCTAGAAGTTGAGAATTACCTTATACCCTTTAATGAATTATTCCCCTACAACTAAATGTGTATTTCTCTGCATGAATATGACAGTAAATATCATGCAAATGAGTTAAGCAATTTCCTCTAGAGACCTGAAATAACTTCCTTGTTACTAAGGAATTTCAAGGAACATCCTCTGGTGGACCTTAGCAAATGAAAAAGATCACTTCTGCTGTTCTGGTGTCTCAGACCTTATTCCTCTCAACCTATATACAGTATTTACCATGCCTCTGCATATTATGCAAATGCTTGCCACAATTTTAATCTTAAAAGAAAATAAGTCACTATTCTATAGAATTAAATATGTGACCAGTGGATGAGGCTAGGGTATATATTTAATGTGAAATGAGTGTTGACTCAATCTCACACTGACAATTAACTACTGTGACTAGATGTGTTTTATATACATCTGTCCTCACATTGTATTTGAGTGCAAGAGGCAGCAAGATTGCTGCTATTTAAACCTGTGCTGGTGATTTCTGTTTCATACTTTGAAGCATGGTACTACATACGTTATTTCAAGAACATTCATCTCAGTGATTTTCCTCCATGGAAAAGAAAGGTTGTGTATAAATTGTTCCTAGCATTATTTTGGGAACAAATATATATCCAGAGGAAATTTCTAGTCATGACTGTAGCTACTCTACAGAGTTCAATTGTCTTCATTTCTCTTCAGGTTAAGTGCATCAAAATAAGGTTTCCATATTTCTTAAGCTCATGTACAGCCAGAACATTTGTAGTGTACCTGAAATAGATCTTGTTGGTTTACAGGGACCTTGCTGCTGTAGTCCAAACTGTTAAGTAATGAGCAGAGTATCTAACTTGCTCTTAAATGTCTCCAGTGATGGAAGGCCCTGTAATCATTCTATCTGTCAGGAATCATGCAGTTTTGTCAAGGATGCTAGACTGTGGCATCTTTCATCATGCCCCTATGCCAGCAAGCCTTAAGCTTATACTGTAAAGTCTGCACATCATGTAAAGTTGTGGAGGAAACTCTCATTAGATTATGAACAGCAAGGGAAGAGTGCTCTTTGGGGTCACTTGCTTCCATGTTATCTAAGGTACGCAGGACAAATGGAAGAGACCATACCAAGTCAAAGTCAGGATTTAGGAAGATACAATAGGAATTAGGAAGTTTTCACTATAGCGGGGAGTGGAACAAGGTAATCTTTAAGATTTCTGTCCAACCCAAACCATTCTCTGATTCTAATTGTTCAGCATAATTTTTTTTTCCATAAATGCATCATCCTTTATGCTACTGAATTTTCACATATTTATTGCACTTCTTTTGATTTTTTTTTCTCCTTGTTTTTTATCAGAGTTCTCATAAAGAAAACAATTGCTTTTTCTACAACATGAAATAAAGGGCAAAGCAGGAAGATGAATTTCCCTACAAAGAACAGGCTGGGGCATATTCTTCTGGATTATGCATCTTCAAAGACCTTCTCTGGAAGTAACGTATAAACAAGACTTCTGCCAGGTTAGTGATCAAAATTCCTACGTACATGAATTTTACCCAACTAGTTTAAAACAAAGGATGCTTGCTGAAGCTCTGTTTTGCCTACATTATGCTGCATATTTTAGACAGTTATTATTATGGAAGGCATATCAGAATTGATATCATCAGTCACTGGCTTTAAAAACGGATTGCCTAGCAATAAATTATTTCCAGGCTATCTTTGTAACGGTACATGACACCAAATACAATCTCTGCTTGCGATATCATTCTAGAAGTATGTCGAAATGCTTGAATTTACTTCATTTGAAGACAGAAATTTGTGTCGACACCTTGAAAGTTTGTAATGTTATGGCTGGTATTACAAAAAGAGCATTCTGCCAGCTTTTGATTCATCATTATTAATGCGTTTGAAGCACCAGGGTAAAAATACCAGGCCAAATGTTCCAGAACCTCAACGTTTTCCTCTGTTGATATCAGCAATGTCTTCCCAGTTTTAACACACTTCATTAATGAACACCCCATGCCAGATGTGCCCCTCTTTAAATGCCTAAAAATAACTCTTAAGTTGCTCCCTAGCAAATGCTAAGCTGACATAAAGATAAGCTTATGGCAATTATTATATTGCTGCCTTTAAGGTTTATGTTGCACTTGCAACTGAACACACAATTTGGGATTTTTACACTGAGAATGGTCTTCAGGCTACTACCTTGGAATATTAGGCAAAAGTTACAATGTAAAGATAGAGGCATATAATTAATTTTGCCTAAGAGTTATACTTAAAGTAGTGAACAGACGGGCAATTTTTAAATCTGAAAATCCTATCACTTGCCAGCTGTAGTATGTCACATATAGCATGTCTGGCTCCAATGCAGAAAAACACAACTTGAAAAGTTAGCAGGAATCGGGAATATCTGCCACTTCTTTCTACTGTTGCAGAAAGAGTAATTGCTGGTTTTACGAAAATAGTACGTAGAATGATGGAGAAGCTGATATTTAGTCTTTATTCAGGGAAGAGAGGGAGAAAATCATTGTGTGGAATTTAATGAAGCTTTACTTAAACTTCCTCCTTGTGCTGGTTTTGGCTGAGACAGAGATAATTTTCTTTGTAGTAGCTGCTGTAGGGCTGTTTGTTGGATTTGTATTTAAAAGTGTTGATCATACAGGGATGTTTTAGTTATTGCTGAGCAGCGCTTGTGCAGAGTCAAGGCCTTTTCTTCTCCTCACACCCCTGCATTGAGGATGCTGGGGGTGCACAGGGAGTTTGGAGAGGACATAGCCGAGACAATTGACTCCAACTGACTCCAGGGATAGGCCATATTATAGGGTGCCAAGCTCAGCATGTAAAGCTGGAAGTGGGGGGGGTTTGGTGTGGGTTCGGGGTGGGAGGGTGTCCATTCAGAATGCTGGCATTCTGTCTTCCTGCATAACTGTTATGTGTGATGAAGCCCTGCTTTTCCAGAGATTGCTGAATGTCTGCCCATGGGAATTGCTGAATGAACTCCTTGTTTTGCTTTGCTTGTGTGCACAGCTCTTGTGTTACCTATTAACCAGTCCTTATCTCAGACCACAAGTTTCCTCACTTCTACAGTTCCAATTCTCATCCATATCCTGCGGGGGGACGACGGGGGGGGGAGGGAGCAAGAGGCTGTGTGGGGCTTAGTTGAAAGAAATGGGGGGGGGTGTCTGAATGTCCAAAGAGGTCTTTTGCAACAGCTTAGATACAGATAAACAGGAGACTCTTATGTTTCTTATGTTTTTCCTGTTTATTCCCAGTATTTCCACAAATCTGGGAAGGAAATTTTAGCACTTGCAGAAAACCTAGCTGTCCTGTCACTAACTTAGACATCTCATGTCCCTTTCTGTGTAGCCAAGGATTTAAGAAATGTACTTCTGAATTTCATCTTGCAACTCTAATATAGATATTGGTAGTGGTTACATCGAGCTACATTTAAAGCTACATCAACCTACATGAAAAGTTTTTCAAGTTACTCATATGTCTTACTGCCCAAATACTGCCCTTACACATGCCTTCTATCTTCGTATTAGTTTCCATAGAAGAGAATGTTGGTTCATTCTCTGAAGAAAATATTACTTTAAGTGCTTGTGATCTTCATTTGTTCTTGTTCAGAATAATTATTTAGGTTTATTGTGACAAAGCATAGTTCGAGATGGTCCGGTCTGTTGGCTCTTTGAAATAAGAGTGAGAAAACTTCAACTGTTATAAAGGAAAAAACCCAAACCCAAAACCCCAAAAAGCTATTTTTCTCCATGTCTTTCATTACGTGAGAAGATGGGAAAAAACATCTGGAGTTATCTCTGAATTCAAAGGTGCAATCCGAGAATTCCTCCACTGGCTCATTACACCTATTAATTGTCTTCATCTGCTGCCCTTTTTCAACTGACTCATACACTGTTTCCTTCTGGACTGCTGGTATTCTCTGCTTCATTAGCTGCTAATGAGTTACGACACAGAACAGCATGTTGTCTTCCTTTATTCTTTCCTAATGTTTACTGAGGTGCTCAGGGCTTTTTTTTTTTTTCCTTTAGGTAGAGAAAGGGCTGGTGTGGGTTGAGAGGGAGAACAACAGATATCATCAGTACAGGTGATATGCAGCTTGGTACTTACAGGTTTAATTGTGCCTATAACAGAAATTTTGGTGAAAATGAAGTTTATCGTTGTTCTTTCAAATCATAAAATCTATTTGCTTCTCTCTTTAATGAATCTTTTTTATTCAGTGCTATAACATATACGGTCTTACAATTAAAGAATGATAATGAAGGTAAATTGAAGTATTAATTTTTAAACCCTATTCTGATGTTGACTAACACTGGGAATGATGATTCACACGTACTCTGTGTGTCTGCTTACAGATGTGACATTTTAGTTATTTATAAAAAAAATATTTTGGAAAGGATTCTCTAAGGGAGTGAAGGTTTTAATGTTTCTTTGGTTTGGGGCTTTTTTTTGTTTGGGTTTGGTTTTGTTTTTCTTTCTTTTCCCAGTTTGATTTTTAAGGCAGGAAAAAAACCCAAGTGTGAAGTGCATACCATCTTCTAGTCTCTCCAAAATGGAAAGGTCGTTAAAGAAACACACACTTTGTAAGTACTGGGACTACTACAGAAAAAGTAACCTACTCCTTCTGTAGTTATGTAGGTAGGTTCTACCAAAATGACTTCTTAACCGGGAGCCATAGTAATTCCACAACAATGACATGAGAGCCATAGTAATTCCACAACAATGACAAAACCAGTAAGTCCCTATGTACTTTGGAAGCACTGACTCTGAAACAGTAATAAATTTCAAATGCAGGACACAAGACTATAACAATATTTTGAAAGTAATTTAAAATGTCCAGTAATGTCCTTATTATGTCCAGAAACTATTAAAAATTTAAATGCAACTAATTTAAAGGTAATTATTATATTTTAAAATACAAAAAGATGTAATTGACTCTTGATATAATTGGTAATTCAAGTTGAACTTTCATGGCTGAAATTCCAATTCATTAAGTCTGTTTAAAGGTACAAGTTAAATACATGTGCTGTAGTATGACCAGATTATGAACCACACTAGTTTTTTGATTTTGGTCAGCAACACTGACTTTTTGGGTGAATACCTTTTTTTCTGTTCATGTATTTCTGTGTCCTGGGTTCAGCAGTAGCAGTCATTTTTTCTCCTTCTCAGTAGCTGTTGCAGTGCTGTGGTTTTGACTTTCAGCCTGGGAGCAACGCTGATAACACCGATGTTTTCAGTTGTTGCTCAGTAATGTTTACCCTGACCAAGGACTTTCTGAGTCTCATGTTCTGTCAGGGAGGAGGGGAAGCTGGGAGGAAGCAGAGACAGGACACCTGACCCAAACTAGCCAAAGAGGTATTCCATACCACAGCACATCATGCCCAGGATGTAGAACTGGGGGATATGATACCCAGAAGGGCGAGATCACTACTCAGGTCGGGCTGGGTATCGGTTGGTGGGTGGTAAGGTGTTGCATTCTCTTCCCTTCTTATTTCCTTTATCATCATTATTATTGGTGGCAGCAGCAGTGGCTGCGTGGTTCTGGATTGCCGGCTGTGTTTAAACCACAGCATTCTGGAAATACATGCAAATTTGTTTGTATCCAGAAGTCATCTATGGGCATATTTTTTTTCCTTTTCTCCTTAAACTTCATAATGTGCTGAAACAATTTCTGAAATGCATATTTTCTCATGAAAATAAACACTTACTGCTTTATATCCCATGCATAGGAAGTGATGCTATGTAGATTTTGCTGAGATTATTTATCATAGAATCATAGAATGTCTTGGATTGGAAAGGACCTTAAGATCATCTAGTTCTAGTTCCCCTCCCATGGGCAGGGACACCTCCCACTATACCAGGTTGCTCAAGGCCCTGTTTGTTTTCTTTCCAAGAGTGCGGTATAGATATAAATATAAGATCAAACTTTTAAGTGTCATCTCATTGTATAAAATAACATTTTCTTTGTTTCAATGTATGTTTTACTGTGAGTTTTTGGCAAATCCATATGCGAATACTACATGTGTCGTCAAGGCTGAAAACCCAGCTCTGCGCTGAGAAAGCATCTCTGATGCAAAATTCACCTTCAGGAAAATAAATATAATTTCCATTTACACCTCAAGTTGTCCTTCTGCTCTCGTCTTGTTAGCAAATGAATTACTGTACTGTGCAACTGCATGTCTTTGGGGCTGTGAGTTAACACTTTCCTAGATGTCTTTTAAGAAACAGTATGGAAAAAACACATCCAAACATACCACAGTCTTGACCTAAACTTTGCAACACATAGCCACAATGAGACTTCTGTTCTTCACTCTTAGAATGTGCAAAAATAAGTTCCAATAATGTATTGCAGCTGAATCACGTACCAAGCGAGTAGGCCTCAGACTTGGAAAGGAACTTTGGAAAACTTATTCCCCGGGTAACATCAAAATTTCTCTTCTGAAAGACAAAAGAAATGAGGCAAAGAAATCACTAGATCTGATTTGACAGAGGGATGAAAATAAGT